AAACTGGCCCCCCTACTCTAGACTACTGCCTTGATACTGGCCTCCTAAGATAGCTATGGACTACTAGCCATTTCGGACCCTGCAGCTCTTTGCAATGATGATTTTTTTTTAACTTATAGAACTAAATTACAGGGCCCAAAATTTATCATAGCTTTACAGGTAAATGCATTTCAATGGAGATTACAAGAATGAATGATGCCATCAAATGAAAGTCCCTCACCCCTTAACTTAAAGTGAAGCATTGTCCTCAATGCTTGGTAAATGACGTCGAATAACTAAGGACAAGGCTCCCCCAAACTTAAATTGAAGATATGATAGAATAAGTTGATGCATTGATTACTGCCTATCTGTTTTGTTCTAAAGGGGCGAAATTCTTGTAGGTTGTTGCTAAGGTCAATAGCTTGCTGGCAAGTTAGGAAGGGAAAACACAGCCCTTGAAATTCTTCTGAGAAAGATTTCTAGGCCCAACTAGGGGATACTAGCAGAGTGAAACTATCATGTGCTATTTTAGAATGCATTAGAAAAAGGGTAAGACCTGCCAATTCCTTCCTAACTACAGCAAGAGCAGGCTTCCTATTGATTTCCACAGACCAGTCATCTTAGGCAAAAGTGAAAACAAATTGGCACGCAAAGCTCACTCGACCTACATTAACATTCTTCACACTCTGCTTGTATGGAGTTGCACAAAAGAAACTACACAGCTACGCACAAAATTAAACTAAACAAACTATTAACTTCCTAACTACCTAAAACATGTAAACTGTAAGCTACTCAGATAAAAAATTGGAACGTAAATTGCAGAAAATTAAACAGATTCTGAGTAGGGGAAAGTCAACTCCCCTTGTTATCCTTCTTCTTCATCAATGGCGCCGCCTGCGGGCTGAGATGCGCCAACATCTTCTTCTTCGACAGACTTCTCCTCGGGAAACTGCGAGAAGTTCCTCATAAGCGCCTTTCGGATTACCAACTCTTACCTTTTCCTCACCTCCACATTCAGCTGGATTGACAATGTTACTGCAATCAGATGTAACATGATTTGAGACTCCACTATCTATGTACCAATTTGGATCGATCACTGTCTTAGGAGTTGAAACAAATGGATTAGTATTTTGTGTTGCAACCAGGGCATGAATGGTCTTACCTTGAAGGTTACCACCATTCTGTGTAAAGACCTTTTGAAGGTTGGAGCTATTGCCTTTGTTCTGATTATGATTGGGTCCTCCTGAGAATTGTTTATCAAATCTATGCCAACACACAAAGGCAGAATGACCAGATTTTCCATCTGACAAATTTGGCGGTTGTTACCATTATTGTTCCATTTTCCCCTGCCTTGATTTCAGCCTCCTCCATCCTTCTGATTGTTGTTAAATTGTTGCCTCTGACTTCTATTTGAAATTTTGCTATTAGTCATGTTTATTGCAGCAGTATGGTGGAATGCCACTGTGTTCTTTTGAGAGTTCTGGAATTCTAATCTTTTTTCAAATACGAGAATTTCAGCTTGCATTCCAGCCCAAGATATCCTAAATCGCCCTGGAATCGTAGCAACTACCAGATTATATTCCTCATCTAATCCAAGTAACACTTGGGAAATTAGCGATCGGGTAGTACTAGACTGCCCGCTTGTCCCAAATTATCTGCATGAGACTTCATAATATGCAAATAATCTATCATTTTTCATGAATCGTTAAGAGTTTTAGCGTAGGTAGTCTTCTCCTGCTCGTGATTGTATTTTGAATAATTCTTGGATAACTGTCCATAAGTCTCTAGCATTTTTACATCCCATTTACTTGTGTTGCCACTTCAGTAGTCATTGAATTATACATAACCATTCGAGAAGAAGTTGATCAACAACTACCCATGACTTATACGAAGGATTTACCATCGCTGCTACTGTAGTTTCTGAGCTTGAGGCTACTGTCGTATCAGCTGGGACTGTTGTAGAGTTAGATGCTTCTCCTGTTGCTGTTGCAGCAGTGTTAACCACAAATTGCACAAATTTTGGTGGGCATGGTGTTTTTCCAGAAAGATGCCCTTCCAATTTGTAGCTTCTAAGGATATGAAATGTTAAATTTCTCCATAATAGATAGTTCCCTCGATCGAGCTTGATTGAAGTCATTTGATTCAAGAGCTGATTAAGCGGTGGGCTACTGAAGGTTGGGTTCGCAGATGTCACCATAACATTGCTCGAGAATGAGGCGTTGGCATTTGTGGCTCTAATACCAAAATACGATTCAAGAAAAATAGGGATTGCAGATTTGTTTCTTGTTATTTCAAATGAGCAAACAACGCTTTGTATTTTAACTGGAAATAAAGAATATAAAAAACGGTAACAAACTGTACACTTGTCAAGGAGATTTTGCAAAATATTTCCTTTGAGATTTTGTTGGAGAAGACTCTAGAATGGTCGTGAGGTGTCACTTCTTCTAGAATGTTTATCATTGAAACAGGGTGTTTCATTAGTATCCTTAACAATGGTCACAGGAAACCCATGTCCCAATTTCTCCCAAATTTTCTTGGAAGAACAATTCAAATATGAATACCATTTTTGTCATTCTTCAGTTTTCTTTTGCTTCGTCCAGTACAATCAGATTTTGTTTTCCCCTCAGTTGCAGGCGGAGAGCGTGGAGGAGGCCTGCGAGTATTTGGGCGGCAATAAAATTTGTATCTTCTCGAGAGAAATTAGGATTCTATTCATCAGAGCGATTTTGGTGGAAACCCAATTTTTGGGGAGAAATTTTGATTTCACTTCTGGGATTTGGAGAAAGGCTTTGGAAATCGTTGATTTCCCCATCCCTCTGACTCCAACGATTTCGATGGCCTTGAAGCTCGCCGTCACCGTCATCGTTGCCGTTGTCGCAGTGTGTTTTCCCCAGCATTTTCAGCAGAATTAGGAGTTCGTTTTCGACGCCATGCATGGCGAATGTTTCAACGATTTCTGAAACCCATTTTAAGATTGTGGTTGCAGGTTTGGCGGCGGTGGGATGGATCTTGAAATTCATGGCTCCGGGGGGTTCAGGTGGATTAAATGGCAGATGAGCGGTAGTGTATGCCACCTCATCTCGCCGACAAAATTTGCCGACGAAGATGGAGGGAAGACCGAGAAAGAAGGAAAAATAGGGATATACTACCTCAGCCACCACATATATATATTAAATTAATATTTTTTGCAAAGCAAGCACAATGGAATCACCCACTTTAACCGCCGCGTCAAATGAGTTCGTGGACCATTTAGAACCATTTTCTAAAGTTAGGGATTAAAGTGTCAGTTTTTAAAACCATTTTCTAAAATTAGGGATTAAAGTGTCAATTTTTAAAAGACCAAATAAAAACCTATCTTCAAACTCATGGACTAAGATTTTTCACGATAGAAACTAAATTGTTACAAATTTTTAGACTACAAGAACTAAATCGTTATAGAATAAAGTTCGAGGACTAAATTCTTACTTTAATAAAATACGGAGACTAAATCATTACAAATTAAAGTTTATGGACTAAATCATTACTTTAATGAAAATACAATAACCAAATATATTTTTCAACAAAGTATCAATTATAACCGTTAAATAAAGAATAAAATTTCAAAATATTTTGAATTAAAAAAATATAAAATATTAAAATAACCAAATTTATAATTTATTAAAGAAAATATAATTTACCATATAAATTTCTCTATATAAAAAGTATAAATTATTAATTTAAATAAACACTAAAGTTTTAAAATATTTTTAATTTGAAAAATATAAAATTTTTTGTTTAAAAAATATAATAACTTTAAATAAGGTTGTAATTCCGTAATTAAAAATTACAATAATCTACATGTATTTGGATTGCAATTATTTTTTATTAATTTAAATAATTTTATACGAAAATGCTTTTGGAGAAAAAAGTTTTATCATATTATCAACACTACAATCTTGAATCTTGATTTTGAATACAACTACAACGTGATATGAAAAATATAAATTTTTTTTATAGAAAATATAGTATTTTAAATAAAGAATAAATTAGAAAAATATTTTAAATTAGAAAAACATAAAATATTAAAATAATCAAATTTATAATTTATTAAAGAAAATATAATTTATCATAATAGATTTCTTTATATAAAAGTATAAATTATTAGTTTAAATAAATAGTAAAGTTTTAAAATATTTTTAATTTGAAAAATAGAAAATTTTTTATTTAAGAAAGTATAATAGCTTTAAATAAGGTTGCAATTCTGTCCTTAAAAATTAAAATAATTTATTTAATAGCTTTAAATAATCTATCTCCACAAATTAAGAAAATATAAGTTGCAATTAATAAACTAAAGCGAGCATAACTCAACGACCGTAATTGGCATATATCTCCAACCAATAGGTTTTGAGTTCAAATCTTCTTCCCAATATATTGTACTAAAAAAAAGTTACAATTAACGAACATAGCTCAACAGTAATTAACATATGGTTCCAACTATGAGGTTGTGAGTTCGATCCCCATCCCCACATGTTGTACTAATCATTTGCCATTTCGGATTAAGAAGATGTTTGAAACGTAAAGACCAAACGAATCTGTATCTTAAAACTTAGGGTCCAAAATACTTTGCTTAAGATCCCCTTAATTTCTAGTTCTACTTGGTTATCAATTTTTCAAACATTTGAACTAGGTTCCATTTGTTTATTCAAAGTTATTATAAAAGTTCTAAAGCACCTTTAAAGTATCTTACAAACAATTATTTCTTTTTCCTTTTTTTTTTTTTGAAAGATGTTTCTTTTTCCCTTAAAAGATATATATATGTATCTATGTCTGCACATGTTACACTTAAAAAAATAATCTCAAATGCACTTCTAATTTGGAGAACTACCTTTAATATAAAAGGAATGCTACCGAAACTTTAACTGTTAAAATATGTTCAGATTAACAAATTTGTATAACTTGAAGCTTTAACTGTTAAAGTATGCTCAGATTATCGAATTAGCTAATTTGTATAACTTTGCATTTAGATTAGACAGTTGCACACATAATAAACACTGCATTGAACTCAATAAATCAAAAGAAGCAATTCTTTTTCACTTTAATTCAAACCCAAACTTTCAAAGAATTCAATCAGAAGAAACTGGTATAAACCAGATAGCTCAATATTGTAAACTGCCCAGACTTGGGGCCTGAATGCTAAATTATTTTCTTCTTTTCCATATTCCAGAATGCATAGATCTAAAGTAAGAGTATTATATGTAGGAAAACTTATCTAATCATCAATCGAAGGCCGAGTCGAATTAGGCAGTCTCCGACCATGGACAAAGGAACTAAACAGATGCAACGCTCTTGCTGGCTGCGCATAAGGTACCATATGAGCGGCACCTCTTACTGTTGCAAATGTCAAAAGATTTCCGTACTCGATCGCCCAACCTCCGACCTGCCGATGTGCAACCATAGTTTTAGATGAAACCAAACTTCAGATTGATGGAACAATTAGAATGCAGGGAGTACCTGGCCTTTGTGAAACCAAGTTCCATATGGGACTGTAATCTTGAAATTCAGATCATGAGCAAGTTCACGGATGAGCGTTCGAGATCCCAACAAGGGGACGACAGAATCTTGATCTCCGCTATAAAGTTTATGAGACATGTCATGTTTGGAACAACTATGACAAACAAATCTACTTAAACAACTCTTGTTTCTTTTTTTCAAACACGAAAAGAAATTACCTGAAAACCAAAACCGGAATACGATTTTCGATTATCCTTTTCAGCAACGGAAGAATGTTGATGTTACCATCGGTATCGCTGTAATTTATTACTCTGTCAATCAAAGTTAACAAAATGTCAAGTTCCTGAAATGGGTTTTGCAATGAACATAAGCAGAACTCATGCCATTTATCAGAATGATCTCATTTCTTGCATCAAAATGATGGGTTTTACTTCAGTAAAAGCTAAACTGTTTTGGAGTATATTTGAAGTTCTTCAACATGTTAGATCGATATAACTTACGGACTGCACATTGACCAACTGTACGGTAATTTAGTTCGGTTAGCATGAAGCACTTTCTGAACCTCTGGAAGGTTGAAATAGAATTTTCTTTCCATGGTCATGCACACATCAACCCCCAAGCTTATCTTAGAAGCCTGCAAAAGATGAATGAAGACTTAAATTACGGCACCAGAAGTACTAAACTTGAATCAAATAGCAAATGAAGTTTACGAAGATGAAGAAGTCAATACCATTTTTCTCAATCGTAGCTCTTGCTCCACTATAGATGGATAGCACACGTCGAGGATGACATCGTAATTGTTTATGTAATTACCAACAATGTGGTTTGCTTTCGATATTGCTTCATTGCATGAATCTGTCACATTGTGAGGACTTGAAAAAGTATAATCATCAAAATCGCATTCGCTCATGATGGTGATACCGATCTCGTCTGATATCATTCCGTGCGACCAAAAGTACTCGTACGTTGCTGGAACATCTCTGTCAAGTCTCAATAGAGGGTTCCCGATCTAAAAATAGGAGCCCAAATTAATAAAAAAATCTTGGAAAGGACATTGAGTCATCAAATTAACTATTTCTTACAGCAACTCCTTTGATGTTGAACTTGAAACCACTGGATCTTGCATTGTGATCCAAAAGAGAAATAGCCAACTGTGGTATGTAATGCCCTGTGCAATTAAAAACCAATCTATCAACAACATTTTTTTTTCATGCTAGGCTAGGAAAGAGAAATTCCTAATCTGAATTTGATTTCATCTATGAACTATTATGATCTCTTGTAATACTGTGAAAGGACCACGAGAGTCTCCATTACTCGTTTTCTAGTCAAGAAAAAATCGCATTTGATAACAATGTCATTTTTAGTTTTATAAATTATATGCTTGTTTCTTCTCAGTTTCTTTGGTATGATTTCATAAGAACACATGAATTCTTAGCTAAATTTGAAAAAAAAAATTTTAAAAACTATTTTTTTAGGGGCCATTTGATAACTATTTCATTTCTAATTTTTTATTTTTAAAAATCTTAGCTAAATTTAAAAAAAAAAATTTTAAACTATTTTTTAGGGGCCATTTGATAACTATTTCATTTCTAATTTTCTAATTTTAAAAATTATGCTTGTTTTTTTTTACAGTTTCATGAGTAATTTTTTTGGTCACTTGAAAACATATTTACATTCTTACCTAAATTTCAAAAACAAAAATTATTTATTTATTTATTTTTTCAAAATTTAGCCTAGATTTTTAAAATACAACAAAACAAAGAACTTTCTAAGTTTAATTTTTTTTAAAAAATAACAGAAAGCGAAATAGTTATTAAACGAGGCATCAGTTTTCAAAACTTAGCTTAGATTTTGAAATAATTTTAAAAAGTAGATAACAAAACAAAAAACAAAGAAACACATAAACACATAGGTGCGGCAAATAGTGTTTATAATCTTGATTTTCAAACCCAAAAAATAAAAAACAAAGTGGTTATCAGACCAACTCCACGTTACAACATAAATCATCAAAAAAGATAACTTGATCCAGTTCATGTTTATCAAACCTGCATAACTTTCGCCTGTGAGATACAACGCTCTAGCTTTGAATGATGGAAACTTCTCATACCAGTTCATCATAAAAATATGCATATCCCTGGCTGCCAAAAACAGTTCAAATTAGATTAAATTGCAATCGTAGAAGGTCCTAGCAAGTTTTTCCAGTTTGGTTCACTAAATATAATTCCTCTCTTGCTCCCCTTCTTAAAATACTACGCACTGATACAGGGTGTGGCTACGGCCGTTTTATGGGAGAAAGAGATGCCTTAACTACTGATGCTCGGCCTTTTATCTTCTGCTCCCTAAGGAGACATTGGCTCGAGATTTTTAATAAGTCTTCGAAAATCTAGATTTATGTAACCTATATTTGGATTGTACTTATAATTTGTAACAGTTAGTTTGAAGTCTCATGACTCAACTTCTTAATCCAAGTTATACAAGCTTAGTCTGTGCGCTAAAACACCTTCTAATTCATGGCTAAATGCACTCGAAATCGAGAAAATATTGTTTCAGGCGATCTCCCTTACCAGCTGAGGCATCTCCACAGTCATAATCTGAACTAGTGTTTGAGTATGACCATCCCACTCCAGCAGGAGATTCAACAAATAGGAGATTCGAAGCTTCAAAAGTGTAAAAGAAAAATCAGTTGGTTCAGATCGAACTCTATCATTCAGACATAATGAACATAAAAATGCAACCTCCCTTACCTTTATTCCAAGACATGGGATTTTTTCGGAGGCCTCGACCGTCCCCTCTCGGATAAAAAGGACCCAACTCTGTAAAAGCTCCTCCTCCAACAGAAGAACATCCAGGACCTAAGCACAGAATAGTTCATATCTTTTTAATCAAAAAGTTTCTTCTTCAATCTCAACAATCCATCAACAATCAATAAGTACTCGCGAAGGAAGATACGTTCGTAAAGTAATAGACTAATGTAGTTCATAAACACATTTAGTCTCTAAGTAGTCTATCGATCAACATGTATAAGAAACCTCATTAAACCTTAACAAAAATTTACATGGTAGGAACTCAATTATTACAATTTTTAAATTAGAGAGACTAAATTGTTACATGCAAGTTCAGAAACGGAATTGTTTCTTCAGGGATTAAAAGCGTTTTTAAAGCATGAAATAAAGACAGTTCAAATGTTGGGATAGTTAGAAATGAGAAATCTAAAAGCAAAACCGAAACCAATAGTCCAAGCAAGAGCAAATGTACAGAACAAGTGAAGTTATTGGAGCAATTTAGCAACATAAACCATTTGGAAACTAATGAAACAGAGTTCAGATTCAAAATCTTGAGACCACAGAATGAATTTAACGAACCTCCATTGAGCCAAAGAGTGAGAGGTTTCTTCTCTGGCTGCTCCTCTGCTTCAACAAAGTAGTAGAACAAGCTCCTCCCATTCTTCACATCCACATCAACATACCCAGAATATTGCTTAAACCCAACTCGCGGCTGACCCGGCAGCCGCAGCACCAGATCCTCAATCGGATAGCCCTCAACTCCGCTGCCGCCGCCGCCGCCGCACAGTAACCACAAATAACTGAAGAAAATAAAAACCCCACCAGAACCCCATCGACCCATCTCGAAATTCCCCCTAAATTTAGCAAACCCTTCTACTCATTCAAGAGATTTCAAAAGAAATGGACGAACCCACTACGGAATTTACGATAATAATGACGACCCACAAACAAAGATGCTAACAACAATGCACTTCTTTAGCTTTTTGGAAAAACAAATTCTGTTTCAATGGGCACGTGAATCCCCTGCTCGCTTTAATGGAAAAGGGAGATTTTCAGGTTCACACAAGATCCTCATTTCTCCATATTTTCATTTTCTTTTTCTTCTTTCTTTTTGGGGGGAAATGGGTTTTCGTGTGGGAGACTTCAAAGACTGGAACAAGCTGAGGAAGAAGTGGGGATTTGGTGGCATACTGCAGTGTATGCACGCGGCTTTTTAAGATGGAGAAATGAGTGACGAATTTGAATGGTGGAGAGTGAGGAGCATTGGGAGTGGTGAAAACGAATAATGGGCAGAAATTATCCAATTCTACAGTGTGTTTTTTGTAAGAAGGAATCAGTCAAGAAAGTGAAAGCAAGAGCTTTTTGCGGATGTGGCCGCTAATTAAATGAATAATTAATGGATGGGACTGCTCTAATTAATCCAAATTTGCTATTAATTATCATCTTTACCTAGCTACCGGTTCAGGGTAGCATGAGGGAGTTCATGCTCTCTCTCTCTCTCTCCCTTTAGGTCATGTTGAATCATTGGAAACAAATTTTTTTCATTTTCTTTAATGATATTAAGGTCGTGGATTTATCTCAAACTTTATAATCCTGTTACTTGATTATTAGAAAATTTTCTTTGTTTTAAGATAAAAATTTCTAGTATTCATGTAGTATAGAAACTTCATACTACCTCGACTTAAAATGTGACACGTATAAAGTATTTTATTATTATAAAAGTATAAGTTTTTCTATATGAAGCCCACGTATATTAAGCAATGCTACTCTACCATATTTGAACTATACTAATTTAACCTTTGACATATTTATTTTCTTTTCTTAATATCATTATTATTTCACTTTTTTCTCACCCTTCAAACCAATAAAATTTATATTTAAACAATTTTATATCTTCTTTCTCTATTTTCATTTATATATTTCTAAAATAAGAAAGAAAGTTGATTTATTTTATTTTGATATTTTCATTTTGTTTGTAATTTTATTTTCATATAGTCAAATAATTATTTTCTATCATTTTATCAATATTATTATTAGATTTTATTTGTTATCTTTTATATTTGTAACTTTATTTTCAAATCAAAACAAAAACTTAAAAAATAAATACTAAGAAAGAAAGTTGGTTTATTTTATTTTGATATTTTAATTTTGTTTGTAATTTTATTTTCAAATAGTTAAATAATTATTTTCTATCATTTTATCAACATTATTATTAGATTTTATTTGTTATCTTTTATATTTGTAACTTTATTTTCAAATCAAAACAAAAACTTAAAAAATAGATACAACATATTTTATTTGTTACCCATTTTGATATCCAATTTTTTTTAATATACAAGTACAAATTTCGAATAATAAAACATTAAAAATTAATTTACATATATTAAAAAATATGTCACGAACTTATTTGAAAATTCCATTTTATTGAATTATATGCTCATAGTGATTGATTTGAAACAAAATTTTAAAGTTAAACCTCAACAATATTTTTACTCAATGACAAAAAAAAAGTCTATTTATAATCAAATCATCAAAATTCATAAAAATGATGAATTTAAAAAATGTAAAAAATTCAACATAATATACTTAGAGATTTACTTTTTTTTTTTATGTAGGATGAATACATCTAACTATTTGATGCATTGAAAAGAAAATGAAAAAAGATATAAAATGATTAGAATGGAATAAAAAAAGTAATAAATAACATGAAAAATAGATAGAAGTCATACATAATTTAAATAATAAATAATAAGTACAAATTGTTAAAGTTCAAACATTCTACCCAAGAAGGTATGAAAAAATTCAGTTTGATGAGAGAAAAATTCAAGAAACAAAAAATGGAGAATGCGACGAGCAAGTAAAGATGTAAATAACAATAAAGAGGAAAATAAATTAAAAAAATAAAAATAAATAAAAGAGAAAATGTAGTAACTTAGATACAGTAGAATAATTTTGCTTCTAAATACGTGGATCACACGTAAAAGAAACATATATTTCTTTTATTTTAATAATAATAAAGATACCTTACACGTGACACATTTGAAATAGAGGTAGTATAAAAGCTTTTCATACTAACGAGAGGTAGGGGTGTTCAAAAAACCCGACAACCCGATGAACCCAACCCAAACCGATCGGGTTGGGTTGGGTATCAGGTTCAATCTTTAAAAAATCGAGTCAACCCAACCCAGCTCGAATTTATGCATATACGTGTATTTTTTTTAATTATATATATATATATTCAATGTCAATCGTCTATTTAATTTTAATCCTAACCCTTCATTTAATGTTTTTATATTATCTTCTTCCATTTTGTATCTTAATCTCATCCGTNACACAACCTGACAACCCAACCCAACCATTGGGTTGACCACCTAATTCAAACCCGACGATTCATGGTCAACCCAAAAATTCGGGTTGGTCCCAAAACCTCTCCTAACCCGACCCAACCTAACTCGTGAATACCCTTAACCGGAGGACTAAAATTTTTCATTTCTCTACTACAATCTCATCACTCACTCATTCCTTATTCTGTAGCCCCACATATTTATTAAAATTAATTTTATCATTTCTCTCTCATCTATTAACGTAACCTATAAACTTCTTCAATTAATATTATTTTATATTTTTTATTTATTTTTTATTCATACTACTAATAATTTTTCTTGTAATTATATAATATTTTTATTATTTGGCATGATTTAATTATATTATAAATTTATATTTAATTTTCAATGTTTTAAATTTTACTCTGTTATTATTAATTAACATCAATAGATTTTTTAAAATAAAATTCATTATTAATAAATATTAAAATAATAAAATTTAATAATGTTTTATATTAAATGATGTTTGTTCATATAAAAAATATTTTAGTAATTCATTATTTCTTAATATTAAATAAATAATTATAATAAAATTCTTTTACTATCAATAATATAGTAATAAAATAAATTAACATTTATTATTATTATAATTAAAAAATATTAGCACAATTCATGTATTTATAGTTAATTAGAAAGAAGAAAAAGGTATACTAATAATTATTTTATATCTGATTTCGATTCTGTTTCCGGCAATGATTTCAGAAAATTTTTAGTAAACAACATTAGAAGAATGATATTTTGATTCATTATCATTCTGATTCCAGTAAACAGGACTTAAGTTTTCTCGTTTTAAAAAAATATTTGTTTCGTTTGCAATTTATTTTATATATTTTTCAACATTCTTAAGAACATACTTTAATCCTATCTCAAATTTTAAAAATAAAAACAAAAATTTTATGATCAAACTGGATCGAGCCATGTATTGTTGCTGCTGCTGCTTCTTCTCCAGCTACCAAACCCACCGGCAGTATGCAACACATATCCCTCTCCTTCGTGCATCTCCCAGTTTGATGCAGTTATTTTGGTTTCGATTCAGCTCTTAATCCGAGTTGATCCGATAAGTGAACACCCCTAATTTTGAAAATTGCTTTTATTTAGTTTTTAGAATTTAGCTTTAAATTTATTGAAAACATTTCAAAAAAGTAAATACCTGCTTAACTTTTTAAAAATAGAAAATTAAGCAAATATGTTTGGTCCAAGTGAATGTGAAAGTCTTGAAAAAAATATCTAAGAAGAGCTCAAGAAAGTGACACATTTGTGGTGCCACGGCAGACTTCGGGATAGTTGTGAGCAACTTGTAATTTTGAGATTTTAGATTGAAACAAAATATAGAGGTAAAAAAAATCTCTACTAGCATGTAATAATGTATATAAATATATAGTAGAATCTTTATTAGTCTATTTATTATTATTTTTTTAGTACATGAAGTGAGAATTCAAACTCACGAACTGTTAGCAATAGATAGAATCAGGTTAAAAACTATAATACATTATTTACAACAATAATTATTAAGACGAAAACGTTGAAAAATGATTGAAGTGTGACATAACACGCCTACAAAGCTAACCAAGTCAAAGCAATTATAAAATGGTTGGAGAAAGCAATACCACAGGTCACATAGTGGTGGTTACCTAACGTGCACTCTATACGATGCTATTGAGGCATTATTTGATCCATCTTTTCTTTGTAAATTTCAATACATGACACAGTAGTCAAATAAAGCATCGTAGATAAGATGCCTGTTACCATTTCAAAAGTTTGGTTCAATCTCCACAATACAATTGTTGAACTAAAAAAAAAAGATGATATGATCAAAAAGAGGGATGAAGATTATTTGCCTAGGTGTATAGTGTTCGAGTGGTAGTACAAAAGTATATGTAACATATCAACATAATCTATTGAAGGTACCATAATAACATAGTTTATGTGGTCAATCCGAACATGACTTAAGTGGATAAGACACAGATTACCATTCTTAAGATCGACTTCCACCCCCGAGAAGAAAAAAAAAAGCTAGAATGTCCTTTGGTATGGGCTTCTCATGTCCGTGACACGATCTATTGTGGATTGTGGTTATTTATTGATTGTATTAATGAACATCTTTCATTTTTATGAAGCATAAGGGTGCCAAAAAAAAGGGAAAAAGGCTTAAAAGAGGTAGAATTTTACAATTTAACTCTAATGAAGCAACCATCCTATTGTTAGAAAAACCAATCCAATCTTTCCATAATTTCACAATGACAATTGTATTAAGTTTTCATATTTTGCTTTTATTCCCCCTAAAAATTTTCATTTCTTTAAAAGATTTTATTCTTATTTATATATATCATAGATATCTTCTCGTTCAAATGTTCTCATTTCTAATACATATAGCAATAATATAGGTAGATTGTTGGTCAGGTATGATAGTAACTTTCACTAAGCTCGACATCACCTACTCGATTGACGATCAAGTACATCTTGGACTAATATTCGTGTGACACTGTTTTCACTATGCATTAAACCTATTGGGTATTTCATAATTATCAAGTTAATGAAATATTCTCCATTTTTCTCTATGTTTTTATGGTATAGAGCCTCCATTGAAAGTGCACTTAGATGAATTAGATTGGAAATTTTGATATTTGAATTCCCCCAAAGTTTGTAATTCGTGTAGAAATTTTAAGAAATTTGTTCCCCAAGAGGAACTGAATCCGCTAGGTACTTCACCTATTCGTGCGCTACAATATCAATTGGAGTATTGGGTATTGCGGAGAATTGGAGATTTGGGGTATTGGGTTTTGCAATTTGTTTGCCATTTGATGTTTGAATCCCCCAAATTGA